GGCGAACAGCGTGAGTAAATGCACGGAAGAAAACTGTCTAATCGTGGGCTCGTCCAGAAAGCAAAATGAGGGAAAAAGCTTCGTGTTATCGTCAAGGAGATGAAGTCAGCTTTTCAGAATCTCCAACACATGAAATGCAACCATGGCGGCATTGTTTGTGTAAATTTAGTGTTACATAAAAACATATGTACCGTATTTACTCGATTCTACTGCGCCCTCGATTGTAACGCGCACCCGATTTCCACCGCAAAAAAAAAAAAAAAAAACGTAAGACATCGATTGCAACACGCACCCATTTTTCTGGCTGGCCCGCAGGATCACACCACCCGAGAAAACGACTTCTTTCGGGAGCGTCTTCCATTTAAATATGAGGTACGGGCGAAGCCTGTGCCCATCTGACGTGTAACAAAGCATTGCCGTCACTGTAGTTTTACCACGGACCGATGTCAGCACGCGAACTTGCTTCGCCCCCTTCTTCTCGGCGGTTGTGGTGCCAGGCATGTCGAAGTAAAGAGGCGTCTGATCGGCATTCCCGATTTGCCCAAGCAGGTAGCCGTTGTTGCGCCGCAAGTTTAGGATGAACCTCTGAAAACTGTGAAGCTTTTCATCGTACTCCTCCGCAAAACTTTTCGCATATGCATGTTCCCCTTCGGAGGGAAAAGCCTTTCCTCTTCATAAAGTTAGTTAGCCAGCACCTGCTCGCTTTAAACTGGCTTCGCATTAGACCTTTTTCTAAGACTAATTGCATAGCCCGCACTTGGAACAGTTCTGTCGTCACGGGCCGCTGTGCCGCTCGCTGCTCAAGCACATACTCGCCGAGCAGCTCTTTAATTTGCGGAAACCGACCCTGCTGTGGTCCACTGAAGCCTTTGCGTGAAGCTTTGCTGTCGACAATCTTCTGCTTTTGTTTCCGCCGGTCCTGCACGCACGTTTCGGGAACTCCGAACGACCGCGATGCGGCCCGATTTCCATCCGTTTCTGCACACGCAATGACTTTTCTTTTAAAAGTGGCATCGTGGTGCACTAGAGTTTTTGGAGTCGGCCCTTCCACGCCGTCGATGCTGATGCACTACTAGATGACGAACTCCTCAGCACACGTACGAAGTGCCGCACATGGGAAACACATAGGCAGAAATGGCCGACGCGCCATGCCGAAGCATGTAGGGGGCGGCCATTTTGGATTTGCCGATGGCAATAGATTGACCGTAATTTTTTTGTTCGTACTCGATTCTAACGCACATGCAATTTATGAACTCGCTTAACCGGAAAAAAGGTGCGCGTTAGATTCCAGTAATTATGGTAATTGCGGTGAGGGGAGCAATGAACGAGAAAGAAACAAGTGGCTGACTAGAGAGACATCAGGTTTTCTGGCACTAAAAGGGATCCCCACTAGAAGGATGAAACCGAAAACCAGCTGCACCGGGCGAGCACTCAGATGCACGAGTAAAGGCCAGTGCACTGCTTTGGAAAGAAAAACACAAAACAACGTAGAGATATCGGTGCATGAAGTGTGGCAGCACATGCAAAGCAAGAAAAATGATAGAAAAAAAGTACATTTTTTAGCACGTTCAGTGCGGCGTGGGCCACCAGAGGGTCATGGCCTGTGCTCTTCCTACACGGCCACGATGTTACAAGCATGCGTCTGCTTGCTGATGGGATAACTTCATCAAACATGAACGCAGAGGTATGATTCTCATTGTAAAAGGTTATAAATAATCAGAAGAAATTTTTTTTTAGTGTTAGATGTCGTGAACCACTCGTGACCCATTGGTGGGTCACGGTGCACCTGGAAGATATGCCGAATGGCTCACTGGTGGCATAGAAATGGCAGGCAATCCCACCCGGATTGGAGGTCGCAGCGTCTCAAGGGATCCCCGCTGACCTCCTCTAAGCGTTACTGAGCTCGAGGCCGGTGCCCTCTTTTGGGAGAAATAAAGTTTCGACCATCATCACTGGTGGGTTGCTCTGCACGGAGGCCTCAAGAAAGCTTGCCACAGTGAACACATTGAACCAGCAGCACCACAGGTGTGCTCTCAGATGCTCAAGTGAAAACCGGTGCGCCACATTAAGAAAAAACAAAAACAAATTGAGATCGGCGCACAAAAGAGATTCCACATATTCCTGAAGTGTGGCAGTACATGCCAAGCAAGAGAAATGATAGAAAAAGCATGCATTTTAAACATACAGAAAATCCCTCAAAGTGTTAAGCATATTCTTTATGCACTTGCCTTCACAAGAGAAGTGTAGTACTTAATGTAAGCAAAATATTGCTTAACAGCTTCAGTGCACAAATTCCAGCTGTTTTTTGCTGGTTTTGCAGTGGTTCTTGCACATTGACTATCACACTTTTCCAGATGACTTGTCCTTTAAAGGGAAAGATACCTTCGACATAATGCCCACAATGGTTTACTGTATGGGTTGAACACATAATGGGAACAGCACCCCAGTTAAGTGGCTTTATGCACTGCTTGATTTGATTGATATGTGGAGTTTAATGTCCCAAAATCATTATATGATTATGAGAGATGCCGTAGGGGAGGGCTTCGGAAATTTTGACCATCAGGAGTTCTTTAACGTGCACCCAAATTTGAGTACACAGGCCTACAGCATTTTCGCCTCCATCGAAAATGCAGCCACCGCAGCCGGGATTCGATCCCGCAATCTGCAGGTCAGCAGACAAGTGCCTTAGCCACTAAATCACCATGGCGGGGCCTTTATGTACTGCTTAAAATACTTCGTAGCATAAGTGACATTATCACTTATAAACACTGTTACATCCTCGAATATTAAATTCTGAACCTCAATGCGGCCTCTCTCAAATGAGTTTGCTTAATCCACAAATTTAACTTCCACGAATGAAGGTATTAAAGCACTCACACTTCTGGGTGACAAGACAAACATGTCAACAACTGATTTTAATTGGTCATCGATAGTTTGATCAGTAGTTACTGACACCGCTATATATTGAGACATAGCTTTGAAATATTCATGTTTCTCAACTTAATGGTGTAGTCGTCGGAACACACCAGATCCAGAGACCGACCCACCATTCATTTGTCTGTAGAAACATTCTCACTTTCGGTTTGTCCACCTTCTCTACAGGAATATTTTCAGATATCACTGCACTCAGGACATTTAGTGCAATGTCATGCTCCCCTTTGCTAATGGTTATTATGGGTTCTAGAGCTTTCTTAGAATTCCTGAACCACCAGCACCCCTCTTCTGATGGGTCTTCGCCACCTTATGTGGAAGGGTCTTTTGTTTTGGTATTTTTATGATGACAGTTTTCCTTGATATCCTTGTTAATAGTTGCATTGTGCCATAACTAGATGCTCTCACATGAGCGTGAAAAAAAAAAAGGAATCCTCCATCTTCGCAGAAGATCACGTGCGTGTATTCTTGAGCATGTTCTTTTGCTGTCTTTTTGCTTAGCCGAGATCCTGAGGGAGCATATCAATCATCAAAAAGCAAACAAGCAAAAAAATGGCATTCTTTCAATTGTGTCATTTGTGTACACTTGGAAAAACATTGGATGAATAGATGACTACAACCACAGCTGAGCTCTTTGATTCGGGTGGTGGCTGAACCCCCCCGCTACACTCCCAAGCTGCACCACCCCCCTTTTTAAATGATAAGACTAACATATTCTAATACAAAATAACATTCTTCTAAAGTAACAGATTATATAAGGCAGTAAAAACCTTTTTTTCTGTTGATTAATACGGAAATACTACTTTTTTATCACCTTTTGCAACCTTTTACATGTAATCTTTTGTTTCAAGGACGTGTAGTGCTATGTCTTAGTAAATTGGGGCGAAACACTGTTTATCAGTGGCTTTCAAAGCCAAAAACCACTATATTTAAACAATTTCATCAAGTGGTCTACGAATAGTGCAATTTTGTCTCAAATCAATCAAATTCATATTAGAGGTAAGAAATAGTGGCCAAAATTATTGAATACCGCAGTGTGCACTCACAGCTCCTGTGAAAGTGGTGATCATTAACGGAAGATCTGCTGTTTTAATCGAGAACAGAACTCCTGACGGCAAACAGCGACACTATGTTCCATGTGTATCAGCAGTGTCAGGAAGAGCTTCTCTTCTTGCCTCTCAGCCACTTCACTTGCCATATGCCTTGCACATGATATCACAGTTTGAAATGTCGATAACTGCTTTATTTACAGCCCACACAGCAACAAAGTTGTTTCATGTTGCTTGAGATCTGTTTTGATCATGTAGCTCATGTAAACATGGATCACATTATAACACAAGTTAGCATCAAGTACATTGCAAGTTCTCTAGCGTGGTCATAAATGGACATTATATATTCTTTTCCTCTTACTCTTTTTAAGCATGACTGATTGCAATGTGTTCTCACTGTTCAAATCAACATTTGCTCCGACTTAAGTTGGAAAAATTACTCGTTTTATATCTAGGGCCTGTGTCAGGTAAGCTGCTCGAAGGACGTTGATCACCTGATCACCTTTATTATATCCTAAAGCCATAGGCATCTAGAAACTAATTTGGCAGTATCACTGTGATCTGTGAAAGTGTGTATATTTAAAACCTTATGATAAATTGCATACTTTATGCAGAGTACGAAAATCTTGTCTGTCAATGACTAGGACTTATCCTGCTGGCTAAATCGACTTTTACGCAATCAAAAGTGTTTCAGTGCCCGAAGCACGGTAACTTAGTGGCCGTGGCATCTCACTGCTGAGCTCAAGGTTGTGAGTTTGATTCTGTCTGTGGCAGTCATATTTGAATGGAATTTATTTACGAAAATGCTTATGTGATCAGATTTAAGCGTATGTTAAAAGAAACAGTGAGCCTCATTATCATGTCATGGTAGTGGCACTTGAAAATACCCCAGTGTTTAGCTTTTTTATTTTTTTATCATGATTGTTCTCAGTACTATGTGCCAGAAAAGAAAAAAAAGGAAGCTTTAGAAATATTTGTCGTGAGCTAAGTTAACTCTGTGACATCGTTTGTTTCTTTCAGGTGCCAGAAATGGGGCCACTGGCTGATTTGTCACTACACCTAGCCAGCATAAGATATCTGGGGCTGCTGCCTTTGTACTTCATCCAAGAATTTGCATCAGCCGTAAATGTATGTCATTATGCAGTGCCATATGATTCATACTGGGCCCAAAAGATCTGGCCCTGTGATTTATCACTTTTCCTGTGTTATAACTGTGCAAAGTTGACTGGTGGTTATGCATGGTGGTCACCTGCCAGTGGTCTCATGGTTTAGAACATAATGTCTGTGTCTTAGACATGGCTATGAAGAAACATTCAACCATGCTTCAGTGCCTCTACACGAGTTCTGGAGCTGGTTATATAAGTACGTACTGCTGAGATGGCCAGAAGAATCTTCCTTGTAAAATGTCCTCCTGATGCCTTATTGGTAGCAGTTGGTGTGTTTGGTGTTTTGTATTATTTTCTGCACTTTATTCGAAATCTGTATGCTGAACGAACTATGGCTTGTCACAGATATTTTAACCTTGCTGTTCTTAAAGCTTATATAGTATGTAGTTGTATTTGAAATGTTTCCAGTGCCTCAGGCACTTTGTTGGAGGTTTGACCTTTCTTGAGTATAATTACCTAGTCGTGTAGCTTTGTTGGCTTCTGACACTGATGCTGCCCATGTGTTTAACATTAAGTTTATTGTGAAGACTCAGTTGCCTAATGTGAAAAAGGTGCTTTGCATATGAGACTGTGTTAGTGCATGCGAAGTACTGTCTTCTACAAGTTTTCGTTGACTAACATGAAACTTGACACTAGTTGAATTGTGCCCAAGTCAGTATATTTGCCTTGTTTTCTCTGTGGTATTTTAACTGTAAATAATCGTAGCTTTATACTACTGTAGAGATGAGTCATGTCTAATCTATGCTGTATATCTGTACATATAATCGAAAGGCACACATAACTGGACATCTCCTGAACCTGCCCAGAGATGGTGGCAAGTAGAATAATTGATCTTACAGAGTATGAAAATATGCATGCACGAAAGCTTGTATGTATATTTTACCGGTGTTTTCAGTTTTAGTGGCACTCATGCAAGATTTTAATGTATCCTCTGTGCAGCTTTACACATATTTTGTTGGATGACGAGGTCCCGATTGTGCAACATTGTAGAAAAATTGTTTCAGCTTATCTGCGCATGCTGGAACGTTAACAGCACTGCTTCGTGGAAGCATGTCTTGCTGGAGATGCAGTTTTTGCCCTCTTTAGCCGCCTTTAGTAAGACAGTGCTTTGTTCTAAGCATAAAGTCAACTCTCATGTTTGGTTGCCCCTGCACAGCAGGAATGCTCAAATTCCAAGTGCTTTAGGAATTAATGAATGGGTGAGAAAGAAAGGAAACAAGGTTTCTGCCTTACAGTGACTTGTCTATTTTTCTTGTCTTTTACCTGTGAATGACAGCATTGAGCAAAATTTTAAGCAAGGAATTTTGCTTGATGCTTGGTGCTATAGTTCTCTAAATGTTCAGTTTTGAGATAGTAATTATTTTTAGTATGTAATTGAGCACAGGGCTATTTCTGTATGTAAAAGCAAACAAACAACCAAACAGACCTATTTTTATAACGGGTTGACCTGATGTAAGACCTATTTTCTTAAAGCTTGCCTTGAAACCTGTACTGATGTTGTGTGATCAGAAGTGACAATAGAACAAAACATGGAGAGTTGGAAGCAAACGCCTCATCATGTCCGAGAAGCACTGTGTGTTATTTGTTATTCGTACTGATGATACTGACGAGACTGGTACACTTTCATTATTGTGTACGAGTTTTTTTTTTTACATTGACGATTTTCTCTATGTACGTGTCTTATAAAATGATGCAGCCGAAAGGCACAAAATTGTGAAAGATTTCTCGTCATATAGCAACCATTTAGCCATTGCGAATACTTACGTGCATCACATTTATGTTTTCGTAATACTGTTGCTTTTAGGTTACCTTCTGTGTGTTGCGGTCACTTACGGTATGTATGGCTGGACTGCATTGGGGTAATCATCCCTGTCGATGAGGTGTGCTAACATTTCCTAATGATAAATGGCAATTGAAGTGCACCCTAAAGTATAAAATGAGGGAGAAGCTATACCAATCCACCCAAGCCAGACATGTCATTAGTTTCACTCATTCATGGAGATTCTTTTTCTATTATGTGACTATAAGTATAATGAAATCATCAAAGTGAAGTGCTTCTTTCCTAATTTCCAGTTATTTCGAGGTTTCATTAAGTTGAGTAGGTTTTTGCCAACCCTACATTGTGGAAATGCTCCACTTTCTAGTCCCAGCAGGCTGGCCATGACAGTGGTGGCTTTGTTGACACTTTTTTTTTATTCCTACAGTAATGCTGTGGCTGTGTGTGAAGCACTGTATCTGCCGTGTGCATAATTGAAATAATGTTGCAGTGAGAAAATTGCTTTAATAACCTGCCTATAAATATTTTCTGTTTCATCTTTTGTCACCCACCAGTACATAAAACAGGAATGCACAGTCATTGTCTTTTTGGATCACTATATACAAGAAGACTTCTTTAAGGATTGATGGTTCAGCATTTTAACCATGCATTTCTTTCCCTCTGTTATCAGTCTTCACTAAGGTTTTATATTATCAAAAATGAAGTAATGTGTTGTAAAATGGCAGTGATGAAACAGTCGTGTCAATGTACATAAATTCATATGACGGGGCAGCTGTGCCATCTGGTTATCATCCTTAAAAGATTAAAGTCTTTGAAGCTGGGTGCTATAGTTTAGAAGTTCTAGCTGGGTAAAATATTGTTCTCACTTATTGTAGTCACTTTCTGACAACCATTTACCTGAACACATAAGGGATGGGAGGTCTGTCTCAGGACACATGCTTTCTACACAAAACTAAAAGATTATTCATTTGGCTATATTCACTAAGATGTTTATGACATAAGAATCAAAGTACTGCTAACTGTAGTCACCCTATCTACAAAAAAAAAAAAGCTGTTAAACCACAGCGACTGACTCATTGTTCAACAGCTTCAGCAGATTAGTGTGCTTACTTTAGGCCAAACTCTGCAGGCAGTGGGATTAGCAGGAAAGCCATATTTTCAGAGCCCGTTTGCTAAGTTTACGTCTATCATCATTATGAAAAACCAACAAAGTGTTGTTTAGCTTTACAGGCTGCCGGCTTAAATTATGGGGGAATTCAGTTTTTTTCTTTATCAGAAGCCATTGCTTGCAAACTTTTGGCATTGATAGTTTCTTGTATTTTGATTGAGCGGCTGGGCAGAACAGCATGTTCTTTGGGCTTCCTTATGCAACCACTTTTTGCTTTATGATAGTTTAAAACATTTTATTTTTGCCCTTAGAAGCTTTCTTGCTTTCATTCACATGGGGGGCTGCAGAAGAAATTTATTTTCTTGCGTGCTACATGCGCAACCTGAAATCAAGTGGCAAGGAGCACGCTACTGCTGTGCATTTCAGCCAATGTCTAATTTGCCCTGGTAATGGTTATAAACTGTTGTTTGTTATCGTACACATAAGCATCACTATTACAACTATCTTGGCTGAGTGTTACATCAGTGCAGTATGTGCATTTCCTAATTCAATCTGTCAAGGCAAATTAAAAGCCTTATTGTGCTAGTTTTACACGAGTAAGCTTTAATGTAGCAAATAATTTATTGAAGTTGCCTTCTTAAGTAAGAATTTTGAAGCACTATGAAGCATGTTGTGGTCATTTCTCTTGAACGAACTTTGCTCTCCACTTCCTGCAAGCTACTAAATATTTTTGATAATCATTGTTGTGCTATTGGTGTGTTTTGCAATAAAACATGTCCAAGTGATCAGGCTGCAACTACAACAGGTGCATGTGACTAGGTGAATAAGCTGGCATTTGTGTGAGATAAATTTAATGTTATATAAAAGGTTAGTTAAAGGAAAGTGAATATGGTGTACTTTTTCTTAGTGTTTATTAAGTTCAAGTAGATTAAGTGAAAAAAATTATTTACAGTTCTGTCCTTTGTGTTTGTTCCTTTCGGGAGCAATGCTTTACATGTACTCTTTAAATATACTGCAGAAAATTGGCATGTCATCTTTAAATTGACATAGCTGTTAGTTTAAAGGTAATGTAATTGCAGTGTATGCTTTGTGCAGGTTTTGGTTGTGCCCCATTTATTAATGCTCTGTGTTGTTGATGTTTTATAAGTTTTGGCTCAGGATTGTTTTTATTTGTTATATTGCTTGATTTTTAACATTCCTCTTGCTCAAAAAAAGTTGTAGTGTGTTTTATCATTGTGCAGATTAGTCACTGTACTATCAGAGACACATGCTTGTACTGCCCTTTAGCCTGTCATCACTGAGTTTGTGTAAGTAGCATGGTGCACACATTCAGCAGATTGTACTATAGTGCTTATATTGTAGCTTTACAAAGCCACTTAGTGACGAAACTGGAGCTTTCCAGATGTTGACTTAGTCAATATTCAGCCACCATTTTGGTAGATTAACAGTGTTAGCATTTGTATTTTAAATGAAATTATGCACTAGTCAACATCAGTCTTGGTATAAATATGAACATGCTCATGCTTGTGAGGTCAGGAGATCACCAAATATACAGCAGCAAGGAGGGCATGCATCGTTTGCCTTTTCACATTTTTCAATGTTGCTTTTTTCTTCATGAACGAAGCTTGGAGATTTGGCAGCCAGACGGAGTGTTGAAGGATACTTGCTTGTACATAAAGTAATACCCTCAAGTCCTTAAGGTGCAATAAACGAAATGGAATTCAAAAAAAGAAAAAAAAGGAAACTAATCTGGATTTCACACAATTCACCAAATTCTACTCAAAATTAGTACTGTAGGTGATCTGGCCACTTTGTCAGTCCTGCATGGTGTGGTGCGCTCCTGACTCTCTGTAGGTCAAACACAGTGAATAGGTTGATGTTTTTTACGAAACTCAGTGTTAGTATTTTTATTTTGACCAAATAGCCAGCTTGTAGGCCCATAACCCTTATAATGGCATCATAGTTCTGGCACATAAAACCTCGGAACTTATTGAGCCTCCAGTCCAAAATGATATAGTAATTTTTTGTGTAAAATACTAGACTGTAATCTCAGGTTATCTCCTGCATTTGCAAGTCAGTGGTCAGGATATAAATAGGTGTGGCTGCTGCCAATTTCTGTATAAGGTATCACTTGTAAAGATTAGTTTTTGTTTATAGATATATAATTGGAGTACTAAGATGGCTCCTTATTAATCACTTCAGTATATTTTTGGAAGTAGTTACAAATGGCAGAAAATTAAGGTGGGAGACTAAATTTAACCAAGGTTTCTTGAGGAATTTAACAGAATAATTTAATGTCTATTTAGTCTATTACTAATATGTCCCTAAAATTTCAAGTCGTTGAAGTTGTCATTCAGGTGGCTAAAGAGTTGTTAAACTTGCTGACTTAATTGCCAAGTTAAACACCTATATTTTAAAATCTCTTGCGTCTCTATATTTGTCATTTCATGCTGTTAAAATTTCAAGACACTGTCATTTTAGGACATACAACTAGTTGATTGTAATGGTTTCAGAAAAACTTAAGGAAGGACTTAAGGAAGGACTGGAAAGTCTATCTTTTCTATGAGTACCCAAAAAAGGGGCCTCCTATTGGTGCACATGCTGCACCGCGCTTTCAGCATCTTATCCAAGCCATGAAGTTCAGAAATGACGCATTTATCTAAAGCTAACGTCAGAGGACTTGGTGTCACCTTTCGATGCCGCCAACTTTGCTACTGTTTTGTTGCTGGATGCTGTGCCTTAAGTACTGGAGGAGTGATTGGTGCAGCAAGCTTTTGCTTCTGCAATTTCGCCTTCATAAAATTAAACCATTGACATTATGCTGCTCAAGATGTTCTAACTCGGTTGTATATGCCCACATGAATTCATCACCATGGAGAAGCTTTGTTAGGACAAGTGCTGTGTGTGCGCTAATACGTTTGCACAGATCAACCGAAATAAGCAGTTATTGTGTAAGTGGCGTCGTCTCATTATCTCACTTTTATTTCCTAGAGCTCGAAGGTGGTAGATGCAGTGCAAATGTTTCGTTGTGTTGAATTTTATTCAGCATATGCATAACAAGATGCATTATTTTCTATTCTAAAGCTATCTATATTTTATAAATCCTATACTGGCTAGAAAAACAACTGTATAGTGCAGGTTTCAGGTTGTCGGGTTTCCTGTTCTTTAAACTACATACAGTCCACTCTCGTTAATTTAAACTTGAATGGACCTCTGAATTTTGTTTGAATTATCAAGAAGTTTGAATTATCATAAATTGTCAGATAGATGACTATGGGAGGGGGGTGACATCATACATTATGATTAGGCTATAATTTTATCACATTTAAAAATGTTTAAAGTCTTTTTAAGCCCTAACTGCATGCAGTGAACAGAAAACAGGGGTGTAAAGTTCACAAGTTTATTGGCCATTTACTGCTGATCAGACCTTTTAAAGAAATCAAGAGTTGCCTACTGCTTCATTGCTACAGGTATGTGCCTTCAGCACAAAGCTCTCTATACTAGTTGAGAAGCATTACGGTTTACCATGCGTGTGCTTTGTTTCAACCCTTTGTTTACTTGCAAAGCCTTTTTCCTTGAAGTCCTCAGGGGCTTATTTTTCATTTTTAGACTGTTGGGATTATATAATCACACAAATTTTTAAATGATAGTAGGAAAGCAACTGATATTTTCTGGTATGGACCTGCAAAAAGTATGAATTAACCGAATGATCGAGTTTGAATTAAGAGGCTTTTAAATACATTGAAAGAAGAAAGGGCCAACCAAAAAATTCAATTTTATTTGAATGAACCAAAAGCTTGAATTATCAGAGTTTGAATAATCGCAAGTCTACTGTAGCAAAACAAAAAAAACAGCTGTCATGCAAACTATATTGCAATTGCAATTTGTGGCAACTACCATGTAAACCTTTGACATGTTCGTGTATTATTTTAAAAATAGTTGAAAATAAATCAGCCAAGTGTACATTAAAAGTGCAGTGTACTATTGATGAAGGTAACAGTAAAATAAGAGTAAATTGTCAATATATGCATCAAAAGCTATTTGTGCACCTGTAGACAAACTGGTTTTCACATCATCATCTTGACGATTATTACATTACTTTTTTTAAAGGCAACATCGTAAAATACACTTTGCTTAAAAATTAAAAATTATGTATCTAAAGCATTTTGTTTAAGGGGACGTATGCACGTTTGTACTCTGCTGGGAGCACATTCAGTAGGGCTGTTTGAAAACATAAAAAAATGAAAATATTCACTCACAGCATCTTTCACATACGTCACTAGGCACTTATTTTTAGGTTCTGGACACTTCAGTCTTCCGGTGTCCTCAGCATTTTGCTTCCTTCACTGGTGTTCATTGGTGGCGCCAATTAAGCTTCCAACCTGATCATTGTTCTACCAAATAGTTGCCTGGTCTTGAAGGCAGTCCACAGTACTTGTTGCTTTGCTTGTGCAAGTTATTGTTGGTTTCACGGATCACCTGACTACCACATAAGTCTTGTGTGTACGGTAGTGGTAGAGCTTTCTTAGCATACAGATATTAGGCGCAGTCCTGTGAAAGAAGAATATCTGTTTAATTTTGTAGCCAAAATTCTGCCTCCAGAATTTAATTTTTCTTTTTCATGCCCTACACGGATGCTCTCACCAGTCATGTGTACACCGGCTGGAGATAGTATTGCTTCCAGAATATTGCAAGTTGCTAGCCAAGCCTTGCTGGTCAGATTTTATCTGAAGGATTTCTGCATGATGGCTAATGAATGTTACAATGTTGGTTTTTATGAAAGGTGCCATATATAAGATGTGGCAGGTGCGCCGTAACTTTATGATGTTGCAAACAACATTACTTTTTGTGCCTGTTATTTCATCATTTGATAAGACCTACATATAATCTTACCATATGTTTGCGATGTAGATAAAACTGTGTATTGTGTGAGCCAACTGATAGTGAGAAACAAAAGGCTCATCCAATGTCCGCTGCCATTTCTCCAACGTCATTTAGAAAGAGCATGGTATCATAAGTGGCTCACTGTTGGACAAGTTTTCCTTTCTTCCAGACAGTGTATGTGGTCTTTGTTCCTGTTTGGCTGCCAAGATTCATTGCTTTCGTTTCACTGCATGGGTTACTCAAAATGAATGCATCTTGTATCAGTGGGGCAGTGCTGGCAATTGTGATAATTATTATTTCAGTATCACATTTTAAACATGCTTATTAATTTTTTCAGAAGCCCACAATGCTTCTGTGTTCATCAAAATCTGCCATGACACATTAATTTGAGACTTTGGAAAAAAAGTCCAAAAATGGTGTCCTTTAGAAGAAGTTGCCTCCAGAGTCCCGTATATTTTTTTCGGCTGGTTGTGTCTATGTTATGTTCTTATGCTCAATTGAAACAGTAGAAGTATAATGCTTTTGTTGTAATGTGTTCTTTTTGTATGTATATGTGTTTTACTTGTTCTTAATTGTTGGCAAGACCTATAAATGTCATTGTGTTGGTTGATCACACACAGATGGAGATATGTACATGTTAAATAATACACCTTGTTATTGAACCCTGGAGTTTTGTCCAGATGCTTTTATTCCATTATGGCACAGTGTGCACAGTTGTACAAGATTGCAACCAAGTTTATGGGGTGGTTGTTGTGGATAGCAATCATTAATAAAAGACACCTAACATAAAACGTGTAAGCTGTTTTTTTTTTATTTATGGCTGTCAACCAGTCATGTTATGAAACCTAGGGCTTTTTAAAGCAGAACACTTGAAAATTAGATAACTTATTAATGTGATCACTTTGATGTAGATGTCAAGTGTATAACCATGCTTTTGCATTGCATGTCATGGAAGCTGGAGATGGTGTGCATGTACATAGTACCACACACCACTGAGGCATGCATCCACACTTTTTCATTTTCACCGAAAGCCAATTTTATTCCATGAGTACTAAAAGAAAAACACCTTACATGCCTAGCAAAGTTCCTGTAGGGTATCAATCATATAGGGCTCTGAAACCACCAGGAGGTCGAAATTTAGTTGTGGGGTTATGGTTGTGTTTGCAAATAATACTTAGCCGTGAGAATTTTTTGAAATTTTGCCGAAATAGCGAGTCACACGTGTTTTATGATACAAAAGAGGCCCTTGTTAGTTTTCTTTATCTTCGCTGTGCTCCTTTTGTCGCTCGTCTCTCCTCCTGGCCCAGTGCTCCTTTTCACCATGCGAGGAGGACGAGCGGTGAGCGAGTGTGCCTGCGAGCGGACAAAACCCGTTGATGAAAGACGAAAATTTTGACTCACAATGGACTCTGAGGGGCTGAACAATACTGAAAAGCCTGGAGAGGAGAAGTGGTTTCATGGAATTCGTGGGGCACCCGCAGCTCCCAGCACTGTTGCGTTCAGCATTGTTGGTCGTGATCGTATGGTCCCTAGAGTGATGGCATTATAAACTGGATCTGCGTATTTATATATATATATATATATATATATATATATATATATATATATATATATATATCTTACCACGTGGTGGCAAAAAAAGAGAGTGAAGAAGTGAAGAAGTGAGTGGCTGCTGTGGCCAAGTAAACAGTCGTTCCCTTCATGTCCCGGTTTATCGTTTCCTCTCGTGTCAGACTGTTGGACGTGCTGAGTACTGTACTGCTACGTCTTATACCTGCTGGTCCTTAACCAGAAGCAACCAACGCCAGTGCACCATGGTTTGTTGATATCCATCTAAGCAGCCGCCGCCTTCAAGGACTACCACCACAGTACGGCCCCTTGTCAACTTCCGGGAGGACTGTTTGCCACATCCGCAACCCAAACCAAGCATGACCCATTCGCTAGTGTACCCTGTGTCATCAATACGCTTCGCACAATCAACCCATTCCACGGTGATGCCGGTGAGGATGTGGAAGATTGGCTTAACCATTTCGGCCGGGGCGCTGCCATAAACAATTGTCGTAAGTTGAAAAACGTCTAGATCTCCCTCTCAGATGCTGCAAAAGTGTGGTATGAGAACCACGAAGCTTCATTCACGAGTTGGCAGAAATTCAAGCGGCAGCTTCGCGAGGCGTTCAGAAACGCCGAAAGGAAAGAGAGATCGGAGCAGGCACTTTCTTCACAGTTTCAAATGCCGAACGGGAGCGTTGCCATGTTTGTCGAAGAAATGTCATGATTGTTTCGACGGATTAACCCCCACATGACACAAGACAAGAAGGTGCACCTGCTAATGCGAGGCATAAAGGAGCAACTTTTCATGGCCCTTGTACGCAACCCTCCTACGACGGTGTCGGAGTTCATACGTGAGGCCACAATTATGGAACACATGCTTCGGCAGCGGTTGTCGCAGTATGAGCGTCAGATGGCCATATCCACTACATGCTCGCTTGTACCATGATGTGACAGGGAGGTCCTCGCAAACTCATACGGCAGGTTGTACGCGAAGAACTTCGGAAATCTCATGCAGCGTCCCCTTCGAGTACCGCTGCTCTTACGGACGTCGTTTGTAACGAAATCAGGCAGTTCGTTCATTCCTCACCATCATCGCAAGCCGAACCTCCCACGCTTTCCTACGGATGCCCTACGCGTCTCTACGCCGTCGATGGCACGTTTTGTTCATCCACCTGCTGGGGCCCCTATAAATTTTCCAAGTTTTGCCCATCGCCCGACTTTGCAGGCCGATTTTCGTCCTGGCCGGCAAAGTCCACCGAATGGGGTGCACCCGATAATCGTCATTTGTGCTATCATTGTGGCGAAGTTGGACACATGTGTAGCGAGAGAGGAAGACGGAACGGCGGCCAACGTGGTCGTGTCGTTGTCTCGCCACTTTATTATGAAAGGCGATTGCTGAAGCGGAGCGGCGGTGGCAGCAGCGTAGCTAGGCCATTCTTAAATTCCTCGTGGCTCGCGGCACATGAGCCACGCGCATCACTTCTTTTTCGGCGCGGCCAGTAGACCAAATCTAGCGGGGCGCTACATAGGCTCCTCCCCCCCCTAGTGCTTTACGCGATCGAAAACATATGTACAAAAGAAAGAAGAACACGTACATGAAAGATAATCCGTAACATGTCCACTTGGGAAGTCCAGGTTGTCAGCGTGAAAGGACACAGGGTCGTGATGATTTTTTCGGTGGTCGGCATTGGGAGAAACGTAGTGGCCGAGAAAGAAGGCACCGGGGTGTGTTTATAGACGAGCAGGTCCCGCGATGGCTTGGTGAAGGCATTCGTGAGTTGTCCAGGTAGCGCGAGCGGGCGTGGCTGTGAAAGGTGCCCGTAGAAGTGACAGTTTGGCCGCTAACGTTGGCAGCTGGTCGGTGATGCTCGTGTTGACTGACGCGAAAACGCTGTGCTCGAAAGACCGTGTGAAGGAGGGCACGTGATTGGTCAGCGCGTCGGGCCGAGGTGGACGAGGCTTGAGACGTGTCAAAGAGAATGCCTGAATTCCAGTTACACGCTTGCTGGTTGGCGTCCCTCGTCGAGATCATGGCAGGATGTCATGTGATAGAGCAAACGCGCATTCTGGAGAAGGGTCTGTCGGCGTCCCAGGAGTCGTAAAAGCCCCTTCAGTAGTCGGCACACGAGGGCTCATGCACAGGTCTACGTGGCAGATGGCTGCCTCTGTGGCAGGTGTGGAGTGATGTGCCCTGGCATACGCGGAGCGGGCACGTCGTACGTTGGCGCGTCAGTCATGGTGACAACATCCCGCACGTTCGGTCGTGTCGAGGGGGGGGGGGGTCACGAGCTTCAGCGTCAGGGTAATTGACGGAGATCCTAGTGGCTGCTGGCAGGACGTAACCTCAACGCCAGACGAAACGCTCTCGCTGAACACAGGGAAAAAATGAACCACTGCATCAATTTCGACGACGCCCGGGTCATCGACACGGAGGTTAGCCACACAAAAAGAAAGTTCTTAGAGTCCTGACACATACAAACAAGGCCTGTAAATGTTAAACGCTCAACTGGAACCTTACCCATTGTATACGTGCACGGTCTACAGAACCAGTTGAGAAAACACCGCAGCAACAACAATGGTGGAAAGAAGGAATAAATTCAAATTACATTGCAAGACGGCATAAATATTATTAACAACTTTTTAAAATAAAGAGGAATGGTTCTGTCGCACGCAAAGACAGCTGTATTGCCCTTCACCCGTAAGAAGTTGAAAAACTTCAATCTCAATTTAGATGGAGAACCATTGATGACTGTTACACAGCATCGGTTTCAGGTAGTAATACTTGATAGGCAGGTATCATGGGCACCTCACATCAAGAAACTCGAAAACGAGGTGAATTTGCTAGTGAATATAGTCCGCAGAATTGCCGGGACATCATGGGGCTGATCCATATCATCCATGCTCGCTGTTCACAACGCTTTAATACGACAAAAAAAATTGGATATTCTGCAGCAGACCTACACGGCCTTTCCCGCACTTCAGAGGAGCGACTTCAGAGACTATTAACTAGGGGACTGTGCATCTGCCTAGGTTACGAGCGACTTCCAGCAGCCTTGTCACAGCAGAGACTCGACAACCACCCTTTCCAGTCATGAGAACAATGGAAACATGCCGCCATTTTTTTTCGCTTACAAACGCAACACAAAGACCACCCATTGGCACTGGAGATTTTACAAAGAGATAAAAGCAATTTTCATGAATAAATACACAGTAATCTATATATATTATACCAAGAAGTGAATTTTGGAACTCCGAAGTAGACTATCCTCCGTGGCTGCTTACAATACCAAGCATTGAATTCTCAGTATATGGCATTATCATAAAGAGAGACATGTTCATCCAAGCTGCTCAACAACTAGCGCTTTATCAGATACACATGCGGTATCCAGGGTACATACACGTTTACACAGATGGCTCAAGTATTACGTCTTCAACATCAGCATTTATTGTACCACAGCTCAATATTCAGAAATCATTTAAATTATGTCGCACGACGTCATCTACTACAGCTGAACTTTTCGCTATTCTGTATGCTATAAAGTTTATAAACTCGACAGCAGGCACGAGAAAATGGGTACTTTTCAGCGATTCATAGGCCGCTTTAAGATCATTCTCCAGTACAAACACGACAGTGATTAGTGATATTATGACATACGAAACGCTGAAAAGGCTCACCAAAGCAAGCAAGGCGCAACATGAGATTAAATTTCAGTGAATACCTGGCCATTGCAACATTCCTAGAAACACAGCGGCCGATGAAGCGGCACGACAAGCACAAAAAAAAAAATGAATTGCGTAGTATTATAAAGGCTACAACTTTCAGAATGAGCAAAACTGCTTGGTTTGACCAAAGTACAAATAGCTGTGACTTATATCACATCGATCCATTCATTCAATTCAAAATTACGCTAGCATTAGATAGAAGAATGGAAACTCCTATTCACTGGTTGAGGTTTGGCACCGCATACACAAAACATTTTTGCACAGAATTGGCAGAGCTGAAACTCCCGAATGCGAATGTGGATTTATAGATGAAGACGTATGTCGCCTTCTCATAGAATGTCCTCACCATGACACGTCGAGACGCCGTCTCAAATCAGAACTGTTAGCATTAAACCGCAAACCGTTTAGCATGAAGAAACTTCTGGGCCCATGGGCAACTGGAGTTTTACAGACTCACGCTTTAAAAGCGCTAACACGTTTCTTACAAGACAGCGTCATTGCTGAAAAGTACTAAAAA